CAGACACAAAAAAAAAAAATAAAAAAAAAAACACATCATAGTAAAATTAATACCTTCTCAGCTTCGCATCGAAGCTAAAAACAATTGTTTGCAACGCACTCGACGAAAAATCACTACCGCGACGGACGAAAATTAACCAACCCAACCAAACTTCTGTCGTTTGACTAGGCGGTCAGTTGGCGACAACACGGCTGGCCTTTAGAATAGGGGTCAACAAATTTTACTACCCAGTGCCGGAAATTATTAAGAATAGTTTGAATCATCATATATCATAAGGTGACAATGTAGGTGGTAAGCAGTGCAAATGACATTCAAGATAGGAAAGGAGCGGGGTGAATGTACACACAAATGCCGTCCATGAACCGGTTCGAAGTAGTACACAGCTGACTATCTCGCACGCGCACAAACAAATCACAACACCTTATCATGATTATTTAACTGATAAACGCCGTCGCAGTACACATTCGGCTCAACCAAGAGAATTCAGAACACAAATATATACATATACAAATAGACAAAAAATAAACAGATACTTTTTGTCACGTTACATAATGAATTATAAAATAATATTATTTATTGACCCCAAATGTTTGTTACTTAAAATACGATCTCATATGTAATTGGTAGATATATTCTAAGTAATATTTGAGGGGGGTTAAAACCTTCCCCGAAATACTTTTCAACTTACATAATACAATGTATAAAAGTAATATAATGTGGTAATTTCTTATTAGGTTGAGTTATAACTATCTCGTTTATGAATATTTTTTTCAAGAGATCATCAAAAAGCTATTCAAAAAAACCTCGAATATCAAAAACTTCCATTTTTTTTTTTTCGGTTTTTAAAGGCCATTGAGGCCCATTACCGCAACACAAATTTGCTTCCATCTGTCTCTGTCTTGTGCTATTGTTTCTCCATCCCGTATTCCGATCTCTGCTAAGTTCTTCTCCACTTTGTCGATCCACCTTTGTTTCGGCCTGCCAAGTGGTCTTTTCCCCTGGGGTTTCCATTTTAAAACTTCTTTCATAAGACCATTTGACCTCCACACATGACCGGCCCATGCCATTCTCCTATTTTTTAATACTGCTACTATGTCTGGCTCTTTATATAACTGTTGTATTTCTATATTGTTTCTTTTCTCATATTGTTGTGTCATGTTATTCATTTTTGGCCCAAATATTCTTCTTAATATTCTTCTTTCGAATATTGCTAATTTGTCTTCGTCTCCATTTGTTGTTGGCCATGTTTCACACGCATATAGAAGGACTGGTCTGATAATTACCTTGTATATTGTGATTTTTGATTTGAGTGATACCTGTTTTGATTTTAGTATACTCGTTACTCCGTAATAGCATTTATTTGCTGCAGTTAGTCTTATTTTAATTTCATCGTGATTATTATTTTTGCTATTTATTGTAACACCCAGGTATTTAAAATTTTGTACTCTTTCAAATTTATAATTCTCAACTTCTAAATTTTCCTCATGATTTTCTCGCCTAGATATTACCATATATTTGGTTTTCCCTTCGTTTATTTGTAATCCAATGTCTTTGCTGTTTATTATTAGTTCTTTGGTTCCTGCTTTGACTTCTTGACTGTCTGATCCCAATATGATAATATCATCTGCGTACGCTAGTACTCCGCATTGTCTTCTGTTCTCTTCCAAGTTTACCCCACCATATTTTTCCTGAGTTTTTCTAACTACCATTTCTAAAGCTATATTAAAGAGTATTGGGGATAGGGCATCTCCCTGTCGAAGTCCAGTCTTAACTTCAAATTCATCTGATATATGCTGATTGAATCTAACTTTACATCTGGTTTTATTCATACATAATTTGATCATTTTCACTATCTTAGCTGGTATCCCAAAGGTTACAAGTGTGTCCCATAGTACTTCTCTATTAATTGAATCATAAGCTTGTTTATAATCAATAAATAGTAGATGTAGATCATTGTCGAATTCATAATGTTTCTCAACTAGTTGTTTAACAGTGAAAATGTGATCTATGGTGGATTTACCACTCATAAAACCACATTGGTATTCCCCAATGATATCTTTTATGTAAGGTTTTATTCTATTTAGTATGAGACCTGACAATACTTTGTACATTGTATTTAGCAACGATATTCCTCGGTAATTTTGGTATCTTGATCTGTCTCCCTTTTTATAAATTGGACATATTATTGCTAATTGCCATTCTTTTGGTATTTCTTCTTTATGCCATACATCTCTGATTAATTTCCCTACTTCTCTTATTAGTTCCTCACCACCATACTTTAAGAGTTCTGAAGCTAAGCCATCTTCACCTGGCGATTTATTGTTTTTAAGTGTGTTTATGGTCATTCTAACTTCGTCGTCCGTTGGTTCTATGTCTTCAGGTTCTGCTGTATAGTACTCAATTTGCGTATGATCTTGGTGCGTTTGTGGGTTGAGTAGTTCCTTGAACACTTTCCCAAACTGTTTTGCAATTTCTTCTCCTTCTGTTACAAGTTCTCCATTTTCTTCTTTCATTATTTCTGTTCTGGGGTTATACCCCGTTTTTAATTCTTTTGTTTGTTTGAAGAAGAGTTTCGGGTTCGTCCTGTTGTCTTCAATCTGTTTTATTCTTTCCTTTTCCCATAATCGTTTTTCCCCTCTTATTATACGTTTAGCTTCTCTAAGCTTCTGGGCAAAATTGTTATTTTTTTCTGTGTTTGGGTTTGTAAGCATCAATGATCTCGCTTTATCCCTTTCTTCAATTGCGCTTTGACACTTATCGTTAAACCATTTATGCTTTTGTACTTTTTTCTTTTTTCCTATGTGTTCCAAAGCAGTTGTTTTTATTATTCCCTCTAATTTTTTCCATCGGGTTTCAATATTTTCTGCCTCTATTCCGTCCTTTAATTTGTCCTTTAGTTTATTTTTGTATTCTTTTAACATTTCAGAGTTTTTTATGTTATCTATATCAACTTTTTCTTCTATTATTATTCTTTTTCTCCATTTACGAGGTAGTTTAATTTGTATTTTAGCTTTAACTAAGAAGTGATCAGACTGAGCAGACACTCCACGAAGGCTCCTGACATCTTCTATAATATTGTTTATCTTCATATCTGTCATGATATGATCAATTTGGTTTTTGGTACTACCTCCGGGTGAGACCCATGTTTCTTTATGGATGTTTTTGTGTGGGAAACACGTGCTACTTATCCTTAGTCCTTTAGAGATTGCAAAGTTAATTAGCCGGTTTCCATTTTCATTAGAGTGAGTATGGAGGCTTTCTTTTCCTATTGTTGGTCTATACATTTCTTCTTTTCCAATTTTAGCGTTGAAATCTCCAAGGATAATCTTCGGTTGGCTTTTGGCAATTGATTCAAATATCGTGTTCAGGTCTTCATAAAAAGCTTCTTTCTCGTCTTGTTGCTTGTCTTCTGTAGGTGCATAGCCATTTATCAGTATTAAATTCATATGTTTACATTCAACTTGGATATAACATAGTCTGTCATTATACGGCTCAAATCTTTTTATGTATGGTAAGTATTCATTGCTAACAATAAATCCTACTCCTCGCTCATGTCTTTGTCCACCACTATAAAAGATAGTATGTTTCTTTGATTTTAAGTTTCCTTCTCCTGTCCATCTAACTTCTTGAATTGCTGCTATTGCAATTCCATATCGTTCTAAATTAGCTTCTACAACTGTTAGTGCGCCCGCTATGTACAGCGATCGCACATTCCAGGTTCCGAGATTAAACTTATCCAAATAATTTTTCATCCGAGGCTTGGTTTTGTGTTGTTCTGGAACCCATGTTTTTTTTCTTGTGTGAGGTGGTTAGCCTCACGCCAAACCCCCATTAATGGATGGCCCAACGGGTTGGGGGATTTCTCCCCTCTCCTTGCTGGAATCGTTCGCCTGGAACTTTCCACCAGCAAGGGGCTATTGCGATACTTTAGTACCGGGCGATGGGAGCGCCAATTTCCCTACGCCACATCAAAAACTTCCATACTATACAAAATACAATATTTTATTCCATATGAATTTTTATGTGACTTATTACTATAGATTAATAAAATTAACAATTCATATTATTTTATTCTAAATAAGTATTTTTTTAAAACCTAGAATAATATATAATGTTTACAATTATATTTCACGACAAAAATGTTTAATTAAAATAATGCAGTTTTAGTCTTGAATAAATTTCGTCTTTTGCTTGTGTTTGAGCTATTAGATGGCGTTGTTACTTATATTATGTTATAATAAAGTCAGTTAGTGAAATGCTTTACTCGTAGTAACATTGATGATCTTTTATAAATTAAGAATAAGTATTCGGTAAAATTCAATCGGCGGAAGTGTGCCTAGCATTTCAGGTTATGTAATATTGGCAAAATCAGTTAAATTAAATACAGGTAATCATTTATGGTATAAGGTATTATACGGTACACTATCATTTGTAACGGTATCGGTGATAGTACGGCGGCTCGGAACTGATAACATCGGTGTTAACAGTGTTAATTCAAAACAACGGACTTTTAGAGAATGAATAGTATTATTAAATATAATTTCGAAAATCATGGATAATCAAGAAGTAGATGCTCAGACTCTCATTGAATATAGAGACTTAGTAAAAAAGAGAGGTGTTTTAAAATCATTCATAACTCATGTTCGCAAATTTTTTAATGGTATTGATGCGGATAAAACCAAAAATTTTGTGTCTCAACTGCAAATGAGATTATCTAATTTTGAGAAGACTATTCACGAATTTACAGAAATTCAAAATGCTATTGATATGCTCGAAATCCCAGAATTGGTCAATGAACGAGAATCATTCGAGTTTAATTATTATTCATTAGTTGCAGATATTGAATCCTATTTAA